ATCAGATTCTCATTTTAGTTCTCAGCATTCAATAAATTTCGCGGTCGATGTCATTCAATATCAAATTAAGTAGCACATCCATGAACAATAATATTCCAATCACAATGAAACGTAAACCAATGGACCACGAAGGGTCAAACCAATGGATCACGGAGGGTCAAACCAATGGTCATGGTATTGTTACCCCCAGGCAAGGGCTTATGATTAATGGATGCCACACTACAGTTTTATAAGTGAACTTCATTCATCGAAGGAAGGTAACATTTTAATCAACCAATCAATCAACATGTACAAATTCGAAAACAGTAATTAATTCGAAAATAAATATACGTTGAGCATATCTTTATAAGGTTACTACTCACAATGGTTTGGGTTGTCACTAAGCGTCAGACGTCCACCTAAGCAAAACACATAACAAAAGCACAATTGAAGCACCAATTCATTTTAATTCAATTCTTCTCATGTGTTTCCAACTCATTCTATGATTATATGAGTCCATTTGGTGCTTAAGGATTCTAGAAATGACATAAGAAAGCAGTTATGCACTTAAAAGAGTTGGTAAAATTTTGCTTAAAACATGGTCTCCGCTCGAGTGCAGCTTCATTCGCTCGAGCAAAAGTCCAAAAATAAGAGTAGCCGGTCGAGCACAATTTTTGTCGCTTAAACGGTCTGCAAACTTAGCAAAAGTACTGGCTGCATGAAATTTTCGCTCAATGGTCGCTCGAGTGGAAGACTGAGTAAAAGTAGTCCTCGCTTGAGCACCACTTTGGTCGCTCGAGCAGCTTGTATAATTTTGCAAAACTTCTGGGAGCTCGATTTTCATGCTCGAGCGACGCTTTCTTCGCTCGAGCGGACACGACAAATTCTGGAATTTCAAAAACTGTGTTTGAGCTTCAAAGTTGATATTCAAAGGTCCAAAACTTGTGTTTTTGGTACAAAAACTTGGAAAAACATTGTATATCATGAAAACACTTCCAATTTGAAACTATTTATTCAAAATCATGCTCTAATTGTCCAAATTCGAGCTTATACTATCAAGTTAAAACATGCATGTTATGGATTGAGTCCTCTTCATGTTAAAACACCACAAAGTGATATGAAATGCGTGAATCCATGGATGATCTTCAAGTTCATGCCTCCTAAGCTCCATGCATGTGTGAATTTCAAGAAATCTTAACTCAAAAATGAAAGATTAAGCATGCATATGCATAATTCAACTCAAATTCATCATATTCATGGTAATTGATGCTCAACCTACTCAAATTCAAGCAAATGATCCTATAACTCCATGCACTTAGTTTCTACATGACTCAATTCCAAGAATTTAGGATGAATTTCATACCTAATGTGTGAATTCATGTGTATTATTGCTTCAATCTTCAAATTTTCTACAAATTCTCTACAAATCCTCCTTGTTCTCTCTCTAAATGTTGAGCTCTCCTTCCTTCTCTCTCAAAATCTTAGCCCTTGTGTAAATATGAGCTTATAAGCTTAATTAGAGCTTTATATAGGGTACAATTAACTTAGCCTAATCAAGGTTAATTAAGGTTAAGTAATTTAGGCTCAATTCTAATTAATTCAATCAATTTACTCTAATTATTTTGATCCGAATCAATTTTCAATTAAAGTTGCCATAAAATTCTAAATATTCTAATTAGTCTATTAACCTAATCAATTTCAGTTTCTAAAGCTGTTTAGGCTCTCAATTTTTGTCTCTAAGTTGTCAATTTGAACAGATATTCCATGTGACAACAAATAATTATAGAATTAAACATGTAATCACATAATTAAACACATAATCATGCAATTAAACTTATTTAAATAATATAATATTATAGTCTGGAGGTTAGGGTCATCACAGTCTCTCCCCCTTAGAAAGTTTGGTTCTCCAAACTTAAGTTACCTTCAGATAGAAACAAATAGAGATACCGTTGCCGCATCTCTTCCTCTTTCTCCCATATGGCCTTCTTCCCATAATGTTCTGTCCATTCAATTTTCACCATAGGGATAGTTTTTTTTCTCAGTTGCTTCACTTGTTGATTAATGATTTGCACAGACCATTCTTCATACATCATATTCTCATCTAGAGCAATCCGGTGGTGATCAATCACATGGAATGAATCTATAAGATACCCACGAAGCATGGATACACAGAAAACATTATGCACTTGCTCCATTCCCAGGGGTAAAGCAATATGGTAAGCAACAGGACCCAACCTTTCAAGAATCTAAAACGGTCCAATATAGCGAGAAGTCAGTTTTCCACTCTTGCCAAATCTCATCTGACCTTTCATCGGTGTTACTTTAATGAACACATGATCCCCCACTTCATACTCTAAGTCTCTTCTTCACCGATCCACATAACATTTATGTTGGCTCTGTGCAATTTTGAGTCTTTGCTGAATGATTTTGATATTCTCGGTTGTCTCTTGCACAAGTTCAATGCCATAAATAGCTCTATCACCAACCTCTGTCCAACAAATTGGCGACCTACATTTTCTGCCATATAGTACCTCATATGGTGCTATACCGATGCTTGCGTGAAAACTGTTGTTTTAAGCAAACTCAGCCAATGGAAAGTACATTTCCCAGCTACCCTGAAAGTCCAAAACACACATATGAAGCATATCTTCTAAGGTCTGAATAGTTCTTTTGGTTTTCCCATCAGTTTGAGGATGAAATGTTGTACTAAACCTCAATTTTGTTCCTATTGCATCCTGTAGACTATGCCAAAATCTAAAAAAAAATTTAGGATCCCTATCTGATACAATAGACACTGGAACCCTGTGCAATCGAATAATTTCGTCAATGTAGATGGTAACAAGTGTATATGCAGTAAATGAAGTCTTTATAGCAAGAAAATGAGCAGACTTGGCCAATCTATCAACTATAACCCAAATAGAGTCCATACCTCTAGGTGTTTGAGGTAGGCTAACAATGAAGTCCATGGTAATATGTTCTCATTTTCATTCCAGGATAGGAAAAGACTGAAGCAAACCTGTTGGTTTTCGATGCTCCGCTTTTACTTGTTGGCATTGCAAGCATTTAGAGTTGAAGTCAGCAATCTCTCTTTTCATGTTCAGCCACCAATACATTAACTTCAAATCTTGGTACATTTTGGTGTTTCATGGGTACATAGTAAACATTGACTTGTGGGCTTCCCCCAAAATTTTTCTTTTCAAATCCGCATCATTTGGAATACACAATCTCCCATGAAATTTCAACACAGAATCTTCAATCGTGAATCCCGATTTAGGCTTGGCGTCAAGTTCATCACAAATCTTCTTTAACAGCTCATCATTCATTTGTTTTTGCTTGATTTCTTCGATAATGACAGGTTGTGCAGACATTGCGGCTATCAAGCTATCTTGTTCAAAAGGCACCACTTTAATTTTGTTTTTTTCAAAATCTAGTAGCAGTTCTCTCTAATCTGTGAGCAAGCAGGCAAGATTCCCCACATTCTTTCTACTAAGTGCATTTGTCATTGTATTGGCTTTGCCCGGATGATAATGGATTTGGAAATCATAATCTTTGATCAATTCAAGCCAACGTCTTTGTCGAATGTTCAACTTCTTTTGGGTGAAAAAGTACTTTAAACTTTTATCATCGGTGTACACTTCAGATTTGGTCCCATACAAGTAGTGATGGCATATTTTTAATGCAAATACAACTGCAACAAGCTCCAGGTCGTGTGTAGGGTAGTTCTTCTCATGTGGCCTTAACTGTGGAGAGGCATATGCAATCACCTTACCATTTTGCATTAAAACACAACGTAAGCTCTTATAAGATGCATCACTGAAGATCACAAAACCTTCGCTACTCGAAGGAATAGTGAGAATTGGAGCTGTAGTCAGTCTTGCTTTCAACTCTTGAAAGGCTGTTTCTCTCTAATTTGTCCACTCAAATGGTTCCCCCTTTCGAGTCAACTGGGTCAATGGCATAGCAATTTTTGAAAAGTCTCTAACAAATCTTCGATAATACCCTGCTAATCCCATAAAACTACGGACTTTTGATACATTAGTCGGGGTAGGCCAATTAATGATTGCTTCTATTTTATGTGGATCAACAAATATACCATCCTTATTAATAATGTGCCCCAAAAATGCGATTTCATCAAGCCAAAATTCACACTTTTTGAATTTCCCATACAACTGCTTTTCTCTGAGTGTTTGAAGAGTCATTCTTAAGTGCTATTCATGATCATCTCAATTCTTCAAATATATGAGAATGTCATCAATAAACAGTACGATAAATTCATCCAAGAAGGGTTTAAAAATTCTATTCATCAGGTCCATGAATGCTGCAGGCGCATTTGTAACTCCAAAAGGCATGACTAAAAACTCGTAATGTCCATACTTGGTTCGGAAGGTAGTCTTTTCGACGTCTTCAGCCTTGACCTTCAGTTGATGATACCCCGATCTCAAGTCAATTTTTGAAAATATCTGTGTCCCCTGCAACTAATCAAACAAGTCATCAATATGCGTCAAAGGGTATTTATTTTTCACTGTTACCTAGTTGAGCTCTTAGTAATCAATGCATAGTCGAAGAGTGCCATCTTTCTTCTTCACAAAAAGTACCGATGCACCCCATGGTGATGTACTTGGTCTGATAAACCCTTTATCAAGCAATACTTGCAACTGAGTTTTCAATTCTTTTATTTCAGTTGTAGACATACAATAAGGAGTTTTAGAAATTGGTTGTGTTCCCGGCATTACATCAATTGTAAATTCAATCTCTCTATCAACAAGTTGGATGGGTAATTCATCCGAAAACGCATTAGGAAAATCTCTCACCACTGGTATATTATCTAGAGTAATGTCTGTAGTTGGTTCAGTTGTTACAATACACAAATACCCTTGACAACCCTTATTCATTAGTCTTCGGGCCTTTATAGCATATATGAGGTATGGTGGAGGAACTACCCCTTTTCCCTCGAAATAAAATTCATTTCGTCCAGGAGGTCGGAATGTCACTCGTTTCAAGGCACAATCAATAGTTGCTTAGTACTTAGCAAGCCAATCCATATCCAGAACAACATCAAAATGTCTCATGTCTAGAGGAATTAAATCAGTATATAAAACAACATGCTCAAGAAATAATTCACATGCAGCAAATACAGTTGAGCACAACATGGATTCCTCCGTAGGTGATGCAACACATAATGTATAACTCAATGTTTCCATAGGTCTATTCAAAGTTTCAGCAAAAATCATAGAAACAAATGAATGTGCAGACCCTGAATCAATTAAAGTATAGGCAGGTTTACCACATATGAAGATTGTACTTGGCACTACTGCTTCAGTATTTTGAGTATCCCCCAGAATCAGTGCAAAAACCCTTTCTTGCCTTTGTTCATTTCTTATCGTAACGGGTGTTGCATTTGTTCTTGTTGTTAGAGTAGATCTAGTTGAACTTGCAGTGCCATGATTCCCACTTCGACATGGCTGTGTACAATCCCTTGCGATGTGTCCCGTCTTTCCACAGTGATAACAAGCCCCTGATGTGCAATAGCAAACACCCCAATGTTTCTTTCCACAAGTAGCACAAGTTGGTGCTGAATTGCCACCTTGGCTTGAATTGGTATTATTAGAACTCTCAGATTTTAACCTCTTGTTTGTTGATGTAGCCCCCTTATTAAAATTCTGTTTTCTGCCCTTCCATTCGAAGTTTTGTTTACGGTTGGCCACATTTCTTTCTGCTATTAGTGCCCTATCAAGTGCATCCACGTATGTCGGCAATTTGAGCACATTGATTTTATCCAAAATTGGGTCATGCAAACCTCCTTCAAACTGTTTGGCCTTTTTGTAATATGTATTTACCATATGGGGTGCAAAGCGAGCTAATTCTATAAATTGAGCCTCATACTCGGCAATTGACTTATTTTCCTTCTTGAGTTCCATAAATTCAGATACTTCACATTGTGGAAAGTATTTCTCGTAAAAGATTTCTAGAAAACGAGCCCAAGTAACATCTTTGTTCTCATCTTGAACCAATAGCACCAACGCCTTGCATCATCTTCCAATGTGAATACAACTAGTTGTACCTTTTGAGCTTCGGTACATGGGAACACTTCAAACAATTTTTCAATTCCTAAGACCCAAGCTTCGGCCTTCAACGGTTCGATTCCGCCATGAAACACCGGTGGCTTCATCATTTTAAATTCTCCGGTCAAAGTAATAGTACAACTCTCCGGCTGACACCCCGGAGCTGGAAGTGGCACAGGCATTGGAGGTGGGGGTGGTGGTTGTTGTTGTTGTTGCCACTGCTGTTGTTGCCTTATGGCTTCAGCCATGTCTTGCATCATTCATTCCATTCTATCCAGTCTTGAAGAGGGTGCCTCCTCTAGTTCATCACACCTTGTCCTCACCATTTTCTATATAAAACTTGTATTATAATAAACACAACAACTATAATATGTCTACATATACAAATTCAAAACATGTAATCATACAACTTGTCTCACTCTAATAATTAATTACACATGAATGCAATCTTGAAGTTTCTTCTAGACTTTCTATAGCTCAACGAACAGGTGAGTGCGGTATAACTTGTGCTCTGATACCACTCTGTCATGACCCAAACCCGTTCTTATAGGTTTAGCGTCATGACCGGCTAGTAATCATAGATTACTTACGGCCTCCATACAAATGAACCTTTTATTATAAAGTACGGGGCTTAGCGAAAGTCTAAAATCACATAGAAATTATCCATTGAGCCGTGCGTATATGTAGAGAACTAGTAAAAATTGTTCCAAAAGTACATCCGTCACAACTGTACAAAATCATGTCTTATAAATATACAAACCCCAACTATACATAAATCCAAAACCTCTGAAACACACAAAAAGGGGTTCAACTAACATGGCTCCACCCGAGCCTGATTACTTCACTTGCAAGCTCCTCAAAAGGCTATCCTGGGTAAACTCGAGGCTTTCCTAACTTTGATGTTCAGCTTGCCCACCAACATATATATATATATATATATAGATAAATAGTGAGCTAGAGCCTAGTGAGTAATAACAGAATAAAGAGGTTATATGAATGAAGTTCGATAACATGTTAATCAGATTCTCATTTCAGTTCTCAACATTCATCAAATTTCATGGTCGATATCTTTCAATATCAAATTAAGTAGCACATCCATGAACAATAATATTCCAATCACAATAAAATGTAAACCAATGGACCACGGAGGGTCAAGCCAATGGACCACGAAGGGTCAAACCAATGGATCACGGAGGGTCAAACCAATGGACCACGGAGGGTCAAACCAATGACCGTGGTATTGTTACCCCCAGGCAAGGGCTTATAATCAATGGATGCCACACTATAGTTTCATAAGTGAACTTCATTCATCGAAGGAAGGTAACATTTTAATCAACCAATCAATCAACATGTTACAAATTTGGAAACAGTAATTAATTTGAAAATAAACATACGTTGAACATATCTTTATAAGGTTACTACTCACAGTGGTTTGGGTTGTCACTAACCCTCGGGAGTCCACCTAAGAAAAACACATAACAAAAGCACAATTGAAGCACCAATTCATTGTAATTCAATTCTTCTCATGTGTTTCTAACTCATTCTATGATTATATCAGTCCATTTGGTGCTTAAGGATGCTAGAAATGACATAAGAATGAAGCTATGCACTTAAAAGAGTTGGTAAATTTTTGCTTAAAACAGGGTCTCCGCTCGAGCGCAGCTTCATTCGCTCGAGCAGAAGTCCAAAAATAAGAGTAGTCGGTCGAGTGCAACTTTTGTCGCTCGAGCGGAAGACTGAGTAAAAGTGGTCCTCGTTTGAGCACCACTTTGGTCGCTCAAGTGGCCTGTATAATTTTGCAAAACTTCTGGGAGCTCGATTTTCATGCTCGAGCGACGCTTTCTTCGCTCGAGCGGACACGACAAATTCTGGAATTTCAAAAACTGTGTTTGAGCTTCAAAGTTGATATTCAAAGGTCCAAAACTTGTGTTTTTGGTACAAAAACTTGGAAAAACATTGTATATCATGAAAACACTTCCAATTTGAAACTATTTATTCAAAATCATGCTCTAATTGTCCAAATTCGAGCTTATACTATCAAGTTAAAACATGCATGTTATGGATTGAGTCCTCTTCATGTTAAAACACCACAAAGTGATATGAAATGCGTGAATCCATGGATGATCTTCAAGTTCATGCCTCCTAAGCTCCATGCATGTGTGAATTTCAAGAAATCTTAACTCAAAAATGAAAGATTAAGCATGCATATGCATAATTCAACTCAAATTCATCATATTCATGGTAATTGATGCTCAACCTACTCAAATTCAAGCAAATGATCCTATAACTCCATGCACTTAGTTTCTACATGACTCAATTCCAAGAATTTAGGATGAATTTCATACCTAATGTGTGAATTCATGTGTATTATTGCTTCAATCTTCAAATTTTCTACAAATCCTCCTTGTTCTCTCTCAAAATCTCAGCCCTTGTGTAAATATGAGCCTATAAGCTTAATTAGAGCTTTATATAGGGTACAATTAACTTAGCCTAATCAAGGTTAATTAAGGTTAAGTAATTTAGGCTCAATTCTAATTAATTCAATCAGTTTACTGTAATTATTTTGATTCGAATCAATTTTCAATTAAAGTTGCCATAAAATTCTAAATATTATAATTAGTCTATTAACCTAATCAATTTCAGTTTCTGAAGCCGTTTAGGCTCTCAATTTTTGTCTCGAAGTTGTTAGTTTGAACAAATATTCCATGTGATAACAAATAATTATAGAATTAAACATATAATCACACAATTAAACACACAATCATGCGATTAAACTTATTTAAATAATATAATATTATAGTTCGGAGGTCGGGGTCGTCACAATTTTAGTCTCCAATTTTAGTTACTCCATTTTAATTACCAGCTATCCCTTAATTCATTAAGTCCAATGATGAGTTTAAGTCCTCTAAATGGAAAGAAGGCTCAAACAAAGTGTTATTTTAGGCATGAAAGAGACTTCATACCGTTTGTAATGAGCCCTCTAAGGGATTAAACCATTAAGCATGACATCTCAATCTCATGCTTTAAACAAACAAGTTGTTTAAACCACTTTCAAAGCAAAACAAAAACCAAGAAAAGAGGGAGGTTGTAGAGGTGATTAATGCTAAAAATAGGTGAGAAAAGCATAAATAAATGCTATCAACTCAAACAAAATGGTGTCTAAGGCCTAGAACACCAAACTCATGAGTACAATTACACTACAAGCATGCAAAGATAAGCTCAAATGCAACTAACAGCCCAAAACAGTGCTAAAATAGGTCTAATGCAGTCCTAAAACATGCTGGAATTGAGCTAAAAATAGCTAGATTAACATGCTAAAACATGGCACAAACTAGGCTAGTAAGCAAGACACAAGGAGGGGAGGCTAACCCCTCCAAATTTGGACTTCAAAATATAATTATGGCCTCTGAAATAACTCCAAAAATCAATGTTTAAAAGCTCTAAAAAAGATAGTAAAAGGATGGGAAACACAAGGGCAAAGGCCTCCAAAACAAGGTACAAAGAAGGGCTATCAACCCCTCAACCTTTAATGGCCTTAGAACCCAAGCTTCAGCCAAAACACACAGAGGTTTTACAGCCTAAAAAAACTTGAAAAAAAGCAAGAATAATAGCAGAGAAAGCAAGCAAATAGGCAAAACCTTATACCTTTTGAAGAGAAGACCAATTCAAGCAATAAAACCAAGACAACACACCCTTCAAGAGTTCAAACCAAGCTCAAAAGTACCTCATCTCATAGGTGAGAAGATTTGGTTAAGGGTGTATAGGCAAAGGTTAAGGAATTGTAAGCAACAGTGTAGAGATTTGCTAGAGAGAGAGGGAATTGTAGAGAGAGAGGGAAAATTTTTGATCTCAAAAGTTTCTAACCTTAAAACATGAGAGGGAGGCCTCATATATATAGAAAACATGAATCTTCCTCAAATACATCCAGCCCTACACGTGGGGGTAGATGCATGCATCTGTGCAAACAACTGGCACAATTGTCACAAAATATCTACAAAAGAGACTGGTAGTCGACCGGCCATCAATGGTGGCCGACAGGCCACATTAGTGGCCGACAGCCCAAAAGTGATGGCCAGTAATCATAAAAGGTGGTCGGAAGGCCACTAGAAACTACAGGTTTGAAGAACCAAGGCTTGGTCCAAGAATAAAGCAGCAAGAGTGCATGGTTTGAAGGGCTCAAAGCTGTAACATCCCGCTAAGGACTTCGCGCACTTGGCAAGCAAATAAACTCATCATCGGGTGTGCATGCGAGGACGTCCAAGTTGTAAGGGCCTTTAAAAATGGGATGTCTACAGTTGCCCCTCTTTGACAGAACTCGAAGTCATGAAATGACGTGAGTGAATGTCAAAGCCCAGAGATGACTCATTTTGACAGGGCCGTAAGTCTTGGACAAACAATCAAGATATAAATAAATGGTTGCGCCCGCAAACTGCCTACATATCCCTTTGCAAGGAATCAAACCAGTGTAGTTCTAGGGAAAAATGCAAATGATATGCACAATGCAACTTTGAAAGCTAGACTAACATGCTATATGAAGCCAACTATTTTGAAAACTCATGATCATGCGAGATGATGCAATAAGCAAGAACAAGATGCGATAAGTAAGATACAACTAGCAATATAACAAGATAATAACATATGAATGAGCAGCTTCAAGCTTAAAACCAACACAGGTCTATGTGAAAAGAAGAAATAAAACACACCTTGACCACGCTAAAACAAGAGACAAGGAAAGAAAACACCGTTCAGGGTTGCGTTTCACGCATACTCAGAAACTGAGAAAACCACTCGATGTCGTGCTTCACACGTCTCGAGAAACAAGATGACTCGTTAGGGGTCACGTTTCATGCATCCTGAGAGAAGGAGAAAAATTGCCCAGGGTCACGTTTCACACGTCTTGAGATAAAAGAGAACCTGCTCGGGGTCGCGTTTTGCGCATCCCGAGAAACAAGAAAAACTGTTTGAGGTCGTGTTTCATGTGTCCTGAGATAAAAAGAGAACCTGCTAAGGGTCGTGTTTCATGCATCCCGAGATAAAACACTCCTGGAATCACGCGTCACGCATTCTGAGATATTGAAAAAATCACTCGGGCTTGCGTTTCACACGCCCCAATATACAACACACCCAAGGCTGTGCGTCACGCGCCCTGAGAAACAAGAAAATCGCTCGGGCTCACATTTCATGCGTCCTGAGATACAACACGCCCAGGGCTGCGCATCACGTGCCCTGAGATACAAGAAAATCTCTC